CTGAGCCAAACTGGTTTCGGCGGGTTTTTTTTTCTTTTTGTAAATATCAACTATCATACAAACTCAGTGAAGTAGGCACTGCCGATCCTTTTGCATTTCATCAAAAAACACTGAGGTTTTGAGAAGTCAAATGGGTTGACCTGAGGCCATGAGGCATTCAGCCAGCTCGGGACACAGGTCTTTGGGCCCTGGGCTTTCTCTCCAGCTGGCTCTGGCCAGCCCTCCACTTCTCTCCAGCCCACTCTGGCCAGCCCTCCACTTCTCTCCAGCCCTCCAGGCCGAGAGGAAGCAGGGAAAGTGAGGCACCGGCTTCTGCCCTCTGCCTCCAGTGGCTGAGAAGACAGAGATCCATGTGCAAACAAAACCAGCGGGAGGCTCCGGGACAGGGGAGGGGTGGGCTGGCCCTGGGTGGAAGAAGGGCTGCATTGTTCTGGCACAAAGGAAACGGAGGGTATAAAACCGGTTGCCTGTCTGTTTTACCCTCAAAAACCTTTCCCTTGCTCTTTTGCCCCCACCCTGCTCTCCTGTCCCACCAGTGCCTCCTCTCCTCTCCCTAGATGTCCATCCACCTTCGGGAAGACAGTTCCCAGGCCCATGTGCTGCTGATGAAGGGGGCTCCTGAGAAGATCTTGGAGTTTTGCTCTAGTTACGTTCTGAATGGGCAGGAGTACCCACTGGACAGTGACATGAAAGAAGCCTTCCAAAGTGCCTACATGGAACTGGGAGGTCTGGGGGAACGCGTGCTAGGTGAGGGGGCTGGGGGAGAGCCCCGAAGTGCTTCTGATTCATGGGGTGCAAAATCTAGGATGCTGGGATGAGCAGGATGTGGACATACATCGCTAATGATGACTGGTCCCTTGTGTCTCCCCCCAGGGTTCTGCTACTTGAACCTGCCTAACACTTTCTCCAAGGGATTCAAGTTTAACACAGATGAAATCAACTTCCCCATGTCCAACCTTTGCTTCGTGGGGCTGATAGCCATGATCGACCCTCCCCGCGCGGCAGTGCCCGATGCAGTGAGCAAGTGTCGCAGCGCAGGGATCAAGGTAAAGCTTGAGGGCCCCAGAAGCCGCGCCTGTCCCCGATCGGGGCAGCAGTGGAAGGCCTTGCACAGACTTGGTTCTTAATAATACCGCTCTCATGGATTTCTGTTTCCTTCAGCTTAGAATGTTTTCATCTTAAGAGACTAAGGGTAAATGTCCTCTATGGTTAGACTCCTGTCTTTCATGGAGCATTAGAATCCTCAAGAGAACTTTAAAGATCTGATGCCCAGGCCACACCCCCGGCCCATGACATTAGAAGCTCGCGGGGTGAGACTCAGGCATCTGCATTTTTAAAAAACTTGCCCAGAGAGTCCAACATGCCAAGAGGTTTGAGAACCAGTGTCCTAGGCCGGTGCTGCTCCAACTCATTTATGTGCACGTGACATTGACACCTTCTCTGTTCCTACCTGATCTGGATCGCACACTTGGAAGAGGGCAGGTTGCAGTGGGGGGCAGGGGGCACATTGAAGGTGTTTAAGGGGAGCTAGCTGCTATCTGTTAGAGCTGGCTTTCTCTTAGACCCTTGACTCTTGGCAGTTGGTTTGGAGGCAGCCTGGGCCAAGCTAAGTTCAAGGATTGGCCATAGAGGAGTGAGAGCCAAGGAATGGGTGTAGAAAATTATGTTGAGTGAATTCTCTAGTTACTACAAGATATCTGGGGGTGATGGAGTTCTTGGCAGAGACAGCATTATTATAACCCATCTACATAGGCCAACCAGGTCATCCTGATATGCCCCAATGGTTCTGTGCGCTGCCATAGCATACTGTGGGAGCCACGTGAAGAGGGGCTTCGTTTGCATTTCCGAGCTGTGAAGTGGGCTGCTAGAGTGAGGAATAACGCGGTGGATGTGCCTAAAATTCATCTCATCTGGGAGTTCGTGGATCTCTGCAGCAAGAAGTAACAATTGTGCCCACGGGTGGGGAGGCCCGAAGTGGAGTCAAAGGGGTGACTTTAGCCAGGACATCCTCACAGCCTGAGGCAGAACGAGGCTGGCCTAGAGCGGGCAGAGCCCTCTGTGCTTTCTGGGCCACGGCGTGCTCTGCACACCGGCTCACGGGTCTTGTAATTTCTTGCTCCTTCTGGACCCTACGCCGGCAGGAACTTGGCAGCCTTGGTGGGGAGTTTGAATCCTCCCTTGCCTTACAGGGAAGGGAAACACTTGCCATGACCACACGTAGTGGACACATGGGGGCTGTTCCACAGGGAAGAGCCTTTCGGGGGCCACTCCGTCACGGGGTCGATGCAGAACTGATGGACAGGACTCGGCTGCTGGGAGAGGGCGGGTAACATCTGCAGGGCAGCAGCGCTTTACAAGAAGTGACTGTAGAACTGATCTTTCCCAGGTAGAGCCATGTGCTCGGGTCTTTGGAATAACCGATTTATAAAAAACACAAAAATAAAAATATTTGCCACTACCTGAGGCTCTCGGGAGCGTGGAGCGACCCACGCGCTGAGCCTGGCTCCCTCTACAAATGCCTCTCAGATGCATGAGCCGGGGGAAGCGGGTACAAGAGGGCAGCTTGCAGGACCGTGGGGGCCAT